CCGGGCGCCCCCCTGCGCCCCCCTGCGCCGGAGCAGCTCCCGGGCCAGAGCCCCCCGCCCCCGGCACCGAGCAGAGAGTAAACCCACGCAGCTGTCCATCCCTGCCGTCCTCCGCAACGTGACCCGGTCCCGGCCCCAGGGCCTCCTCCGGCGAGGCCCCCTCCCAGCGAGGCCCCCGCGACGCCGGTGCATGGATGGGAGCTTCCACTGGAGAGACCCGCTTCCCCTTGAAGAACCTGTCCCGGGAAGACACCCCCAGGCCTTCCCTCAACCAGGGAGGCTGGCAGAAGAGACAGGCCAGCCGCAGAGCTGCTGCTCCTGCGCAGGGACAGGCCGGCGGGCTGTGGGCTGGGAGGACGGGTCCTGCCCTGAGTAGCCTGGCGCTCAGGAGCGGGGCAGGGAGGGAGCTGCGGCGGGGGTTTCCTGCCTCCTCCCACCCTCACCCCTACCCTACCCTCTGTCTATGGGGAGACACACACATGCACACCCGTGCCCTCTGTCTTGGGGAGCGGCTGGGCTTGTGCTCCTGAGAGCTGAACCTCCTTGAGGCCCAGGGTAGCAAGGGCAGGTGCTCCCTGGCGGGGAGGGAGGGAGGGTGTGGAGGGGGGTGTGGGTCTAGACCAGGCCCAGGTTGCCCAGTGGCAGCTGCCAGTCGTACAAGAGGCCAGGGCCAGCCATCAGGGCTGGCGAGCAGGCAGCACACGGACCTCCCCCCTCTTGTGGGCAGATGGGTCTCCTCACCAGGCTGCCCAGCTGCAGTCTGCAGTTTCAAGGAAGGAACTCTCTGAACGCTTACTGATTACAAGCCAGAAGGTTGGGGAAAGTTGGGTGTTAATTAGTTTTGAGAGTGGTAGTCAGATATTGGAGAAAATAGTTCAGGACCCAGTGGGTCCCAAGACCTCAGACACAATCGGCAGGTCTGCCGTGGTGCACCCAGACACAATCGGCAGGTCTGCCGTGGTGCACCCAGACACAATCGGCAGGTCTGCCGTGGTGCACCCAGACAGCCTCCCCCAGACGCCTCCGCAGAATTCGTGTAGCCTCACAGGCTGTGGTGGCTTTTTTGGGGGGGATCCAGTCATGAGGCCTGAACTCTGGGCCTGGGCACTGTCCCTCAGCTCTTCAGCTCAAGGCTAGCGCTCTACCACTTGAGCCACAGCACCACTTCCAGATTTTTTTGCTTATGTGGTGCTGGGGAAGTGAACCCGGGGCCTCAGGCATGCAAGGCAAGCGCTCTACCACTAAGCCATCTTTCCAGCCCTTCTTTCATTTTTTTTTTTGCCAGTCCTGGAGCTTGAACTCAGGGACTGGGCACTGTCCCTGAGCCTCTCTGTGCTCAAGGTTAGAACTGTACTGCTTGAACCACACTGCCACTTCTGACCTTTTCTGTTTATGTGATACTGAGAAATCACACCCAGGGCTTCATGCATCTAGGCAAGCAGTCTACCACTAAGCCACATTCCCAGCCCCTGTGGTGGCTTCCTAACAACCACAGAGGAAACTAGGAAGTTAGCAATCGAAGTGAGTCCACTGTCGCTCCTTTGAGGGACACGGATCATTTTAAGACGCGTGTCCTACCTCACTGCCCAGCCTTCTGTGCTTACAGCCGCAAGCTCTATATACTGCGTAAGTATAGATATTACGTTTAGTAATTACTCTTTCAATGTCTTTCTTAGAAATGACCCAGATATTCAATGACTGTTACTTAAGTTAACTTCAATATTGGAAACTTTGTAAGTAGGCCTCTTACAAAAGAAAACTGCTGAAGAGTTCATTTATAAAGTTTTATCACTAAAATTCATCTTACTTGTTCATTCTTGGCGGTTACTGTTGAACTCATGCGGGTAAGAAGTCTCATAGACTTAGCCAGCCAGCCCCCTAGGTAATTCTTGTTACAAGTGAAGCAAATATCAGAAATAGCATAGAAGAAAGGAACTACAAAGAGGGTCCAGGCATAACAGTGCACACCTGTAATTCCAGCACTTAGGAGGCATGAGGACCGAAGTTTGAGGTTAGCCTGGGTTATATAGCAAAACACGGGTACTAGGCTTGGAATCAGGGACTCATGCTTATTGGATGGCTTGCTCATGGCTGCTGTTCTACCACTTGGGCCATGCCTCCAGTCTGGCATTTTGACACCTTTCTGCCAGGATTGACGTTGACCACAGCCCTCTAGGTGTCAGCCTCCTGAGTAGCTTAGATTATAGGCTGAGCCACAGGTGCCCAACTTCTCTCCTTTCTTCCCTCCTCTCCATCTCTCTTCCTGTCCATTCTGCTTTTGGATTGGATTTCTAGTTTTATCATCCAGTAAAATTAACTTAAGCCTCTTTGACTAAGCCAAGTTGGAAGAAGCTATGTCTGCATCACTTTCAATGCTGATGTTTCCAGAAACTTCCTCGTTTCTATTCTGCTAGCACCTAAAACTAGTTTTGCTTACCAAAAATGGTTCTAAATTGTGAACTTTAAATAAAAAATACTCTATATACATAAAATACCTCATATACATAAAACAAACGTCCATGACACATAGACAACATAGAATGTGCTAGTCCAGAGTAACACAGGTTTATATCCACTTGCATTTTTGCCCAAATTGTATTTCTAGCAAGAAAAAAAAGGTTCCGTTTATTCAGGTGGCTAAAAGTGGTACTAATGTTTGTACACAAGATCTTTTCACCTGCTCAGTTTTCGAATTGTTATTTCTGGTGGTCCTGGGTTTTCTAACTTAGGGCTTTTCCTCCACAGGCAAGTGCTCTACCCCGTGAGCCGCTCCCGTCCACAAACAGGAGTTTGCCCTTCTTTCCTTTTTTTTTTTTTTCTTTTTTGCTAGTCCTAGGGCTTGAACCTAGGGCCTGGGCACTGTTCCTGAACTTTTTTTTTTTTTTTTGATCCAGACGTGGGGTCTGAACTCTGGGCCTGGGCGCTGTCCTTCAGCTCAAGGCTAGCGCTCTACCACTTAAGCCACGGCACCACTTTCAGCTTTTTTCTTTTTGCTTATGTGGTGCTGAGGAATCGAACCCAGGGCCACATGCATGCAAGGCAAGCGCTCTACCACTGAGCCACCTTCCCAGCCCCTGTTCCTGAACTTTTCTGAACAAGGCTAGCATTCCACCACTTTGAGCCACAGCACCACTTTTATTTTTCTGGTGATTAATTGGAGATAAAAGTTTCATGGACTTTCCTGCCCGGGCTGGCTTTGAACTGCCAGATCTCAGCCTCCTACGTAGCTAGGACTACAGGCGTGAGCCACCAGTGCCCGGCTGGATCCCTGAAATTTCTATTTCAAAAGATGACTCTGTTACAGGAGAGCACAGGACTCTTATCTTTGGCGCAGAGTGCACTCTCGGCGGGCATCTGCCTCTCGTCAGGGGTGTCCTGAGAATGCATCAGCTCGTTCCAGTAAGCCATCAAGAAGTTGCCCTCCAGAGCGCGAGGGCCTCGTGGGGGTGGGGGTGGGAGCCCTGCTGGGCCGCAGGCAGGGGCAGGAGCCACCCGGGGCCAGACCCCACGGTGCAGGGGAGATGGGCAGAGCGTGTGACCAGCAGGCTTTCGGAAGGGGTGGGGGCTGCTGGCTGAAGTCCATGCCGGGCTTAGAGCACATCCTCCATTTGAACGTGAGCTTCCCGTACGTCCGCTTTTGACCAGCTCTAAAAATTCTCAAGTGCCCCGTTATCAAGAGGACGGGGGTGAGCCACAGCATGAGCTCCTTTAAACCTAAAGATGACTGTCCAGCGGCAGAGCCAAAGCCAAGAGCCCTTCATAACTTCACCGCGGGCCAAACGCCCTGAGAAGGAAGGGCAGGACGTACAGGCTGATCAAGCCTTAGGCTAGTGAGAGGAAGAAGGGCCTGTTTGGGGGGGAAGCAGGCTGGGCCCCTCTCCTGCCCCTGTGCCCATGCCCACACCCCGTCAGCATGGCCAGCCTGTCAGAACCCACAGCCGCCCTGGAAGGGACGGCAGCCCACCCAAGCCAGACAGAGGCCTCCGAACCCTCATCTGACTTTGGCAAAGAGGACAAGAGGCTTCTCCTTTTGCTTCCACGCAGGCACCACAGGCAGAGGTCTGGGAAGGCCGCGGTTGGAACCTTACCTCTCCCCCCTCTGCCGCCCCTTGCTGGACACCAGAGAGGAATCTTCAAGGTGAGGCAGGCTGGCAGAAGGAAAGGTCCAGTTTACACGGCCTGAGTTCTGTGGAGATGCAGGAAGGGCTGTGGTGCAGGGCTGGGCTGGCAGGTGTCTAGTTGCTCAGACTCCTGGCAACTGTGAGTAACAGGCCTCTCCTCAGGGACAGGCAGGACACCTGAGCCACGAGATCACAGAGCAGGGAGGACAGACACAGTGGCCTCCGGGGACTGAAGGAAGGGGTGGAGAGGGCCGCTGCTCTGCTCTGCTGGTTCCACTGAGCCAGATTTGCTGTGTCGGCCGTATGTCTTCTGCGCCCACTTTGTAGCCAGAGGATGTCCGGGACGGCGGCAGGCCCCTCGTCCGCCCGGCCTGGCTTCCTCCGGGCTGTTCAGAGCGGGTTCTCGTACCTGGTGAGGCTGGACAGCCGCTCACGCAGGTCTCTGAAGCAAGGCCTCCGCTCGGGATCCTGGCTCCAGCAGGAGCACATCAGCTGGTGCACGCTGGGCGGGCACCCTGCGGGGCAGGGCATTCGGTAGCCTGCATTCACCCTCAGGAAGGCCTCGTGGTTGGACATGCCTGCGGCCAGGAGGGAAGGCGGAGCTGGAGAGAGGGAGGCCGGTGCTGGTGCACCTGGCCCACAGCTGCCTGCCCGTCCCTCCGGAAGCTTTCCCCGGCAGAGGTCACGGCGGCCTGCCTCGCAGGGTGCCTCAGCACGTGCGCTCTGGACAGAGACGCCAGGCGGTCACACCAGGACAGGGCAGAGGAGGGCCAGCAGATGCTTCAGGGACGAGGCCACCGGGCAGCGCTTCTGCTGGACACCAGGGCCTGCCCCGCCTCCTCCTCAGGTGGAGGCACCGGGAGAATACCTGGGTAGGGGGTCTGACCCCTGCTGAAGATCTCATGGAGGAGAACTCCGAAGGACCAGACGTCAGACTTGATGGAGTAATGCCCTCGGGAGAGTGCCTCGGGAGCCGTCCACTTGTAGGGGATGCTGTGCTCGTGAGAAAGGTAGATGTCCTCCTGCAACCACAAAGGGGCCGGTGACCCGCCTGCAGCGTGGACAGGGGGGCCGAGGGCCTGGGGGCAAGTCTGCTGCCCGCGGCGCTAGAGGGGGTCCAGGAAGGCTCCACAGGACTGCCTGAGCCCGGGCGGGGAGGCAGCGGGGAGCAAGGCTGTGAAGAACACGGCGGCAAATGCAGGAGGCTCCAGCTTACGTCTGGGTGCCCAGGGCTGGGCCAGCGCACCCGGGAGTGAGGCCACATCTGTGTGGACGGAGCCGCCCCTGTCCGCAAGGAATCTCTCCCCGCGCGGCTGAGATTGCAGCCAGGAGCCCAGAGGAGAGGAGGCCCCACCCCCCGGGCCATCTCCCGGAGCCCACCTTGATGAGCCGGGCCAACCCGAAGTCGCCCACTTTGCAGATGTTGTTCTCCCCCACGAGGATGTTCCTGGCAGCCAGGTCTCGGTGGATATAGTTCTGTGATTCTAGATAGCACATGCCCGCAGCCACCTGTGCCGCCATGTCCGCCAGCTCCGACCCGGGCAGGACCTTCTCATCAGACTCTGCAGCACAACCAGAGTCAGAGTCAGCCGGCCAACCAGGGGAGGGCAGGAGGGCAGGGGAGGCCGGGAGGCCAGGGAGAGCAGGAGGCCAGGGGAGGCCAGGGAGGGCAGGAGGGCAGGGGAGGCCGGGAGGCCAGGGGAGGCCAGGGAGGGCAGGAGGGCAGGGGAGGCCTGGGGAGGCTGGGAGGCCAGGGGAGGCCGGGAGGCCAGGGAGAGCAGGAGGCCAGGGGAGGCCGGGAGGCCAGGGAGAGCAGGAGGCCAGGGGAGGCCGGGAGGCCAGGGGAGGCCTGGGGAGGCCGGGAGGCCTGGGGAGGCCGGGAGGCCAGGGGAGGCCGGGAGGCCAGGGGAGGCCGGGAGGCCAGGGAGAGCAGGAGGCCAGGGGAGGCCGGGAGGCCTGGCTTAAGATCAGCACAGAAGCACAGGCCAGCCCAGTCCCTCCACAGTGTGCATCTGGTCCAAGAGCAGTGCACACACCACCTCTGCCCCGCAGCTTCGCTCTGGGGGCTGAGAAAGTCAACTCAGCTCCAAGATTTGTGTATCCGGGCATCGGCCACAGCTCTGTCACCTACCCTGGGCACCCTCCCGAGGCGGGGCTGCAGGCATGGCTGGGGGCTGTAGCTTATCTGGCTGCATTGGACAATGGAGCTTGTTATGTGAAAAACAGGTTACAAACTTTCTGACATGAGAATTGTAAATGTGACACTCAAACACGTATTCCAGCACACACAAACACACTCGATATCATTCTTCCTAAGTGCAGCGTTTTGTCCTAGGATTTGGAAATAGAGCATCTCGGTGGCTTGGGAAAGACCGTCGTGGTTTTGGCATTGAAGATGATGCTCTTGGAGCGTGTGAGGGGTTCACGCCTCAGAGGGAGGGGCCGCAGGTCCTCGGCCGGAGAAGCTGCAGGGCGACAGACCCTCTGAGCCCACTGGAAGTGGGCTGCACTGGCTACGGGTGTAATCATTGCAACCTTCTTGTCGGGTCTGAGACTGAGACTCAGACTCTATGGATGTTTTCTCTCAGTGGCTCAGGCCCTACCAACTGAGCAACGCCTCCAACCCCAAGAGTGGCTCTTCTCATCTGTACTGAGCTGTGTTTCCTCAAGTACATTAATCACATTTTAAGTCATTTCTTTTGGCAGTACTGGGGTTTGCGCTCAGGGGTGAGTGTGAGTGTGTGCGCGCACACACACATCAGTGTTGGGACTTGAATTCAGAGCCTCACACTCTCACTTGGCTTTTTGCTCAAGGCTGGCACTCTACCATTTGAGCCACACCTCTACTTTCCACTTTTTTGCTAGTTAATTAGAGATAAGAGTCGGTGAGACTCTTCAAATTACAAAGATTTGCTTCAAATTACAAATCTCAGATCTCAGGTCTCAGCTTCTTGAGTAGCTGAGCCACCAGTACCCAGCTAAACCCAGTATCTGAGCCACCAGTACCCAGCTAAATTCAGTAGCTGAGCTACCAGTACCCTAAATTCAGTGCTTGTGTTTGCTAGGCAAGCACTCTACTTCTTCTTAAAAAAATGTTTTATTGAGCCGGGCACCAATGGCTCACGCCTATAATCCAAGCTACTCAGGAGGCTGAGATCTGAGAATCTCAGTTCAAAGCCAGCCCAGGCAGGAAAGTCCATGAAACTCTTATCTCCAATAAACCAGTTAGGAAACCAGAAGTGGTGCTGTGGCTCAACTGGTAGAGCACTCTCCTTGAGCTGAAGAGCTGAGGGACAGCGCCCAGGCCCAGAGTTCAAGCCCTATGACTGACCAAAAAAAAAAAAAAAAGTGCTCCCTCTGTATATCACCTTATAATAACAATACTAATGTGTGTGTGTGTGTGTGTGTGTGTGTGTGTGTGTGTGTGTGTGTGTGGTCATGGGGCTTGAACTCTGGGCTTGGGCGCTGTCCCTCAGCTCTTCAGCTCAAGGTGAGCGCTCTACCACTTGAGCCACAGCGCCACTTCCAGCATTCTAGTGGTTCATTGGAGATAAGAGTTTTAAGGACTTTCCTGCCCGGGCTGGCTTTGATCTGTGATCCTCAGATCTCAGCCTCCAGAGTAGCTAGGATGACAAGCGTGAGTCACTAGGCCCAGTTTAAGTCATTTCTTGATCAAACAAGTGATTAGCTGTTGGAAGTGAGGCTGGGTGCTTGAGCACCAGCCAGAGGAGGGGGGCAGGGGAGAGAGGGGGGAGACAAGCTTGTTCGAGAATTTGCTGACTATCCTACAAGAAATGGACAATCTACATCTTCACGTTCTTCTCTGTTTCCCATCTTCATCCAGAGGCTCTGGGAGCTCTGGGCAGGGCAAGCTGCTCACTCACCCCGCAGCAGCTCCAGCAGGCTGCCCTTGGCCATGAGCTCCGTGATGATGTAGACAGGGTCCCCCAGGGATGCCACTGCGTACAGCGCCAGGATGTGCTTGTGCCGCAGCTTCTTCATGGCCTGGATCTCCGACTGGAAGGTGTGCTGGTGCTGGAGGTTGTCTGCGAGGAGGGGCCGGTGGGAATGACCTACCCTGCAGGGGCTCTGAGAACATGGATGTCCTGGGGCCTGACACTCCAGGCCACGCAAGCCTGCCCCGCCCCAGCAGAAGCTTCTGGGCTGCTCTGCTGGCCCCTGTGGTTTGGGGACAAACCCTGGAGGCTCCGGGGTTCAGGTGAGCCTGTCAGACTTCTAGTGATTATTTTAAGTTTCCTATTTCATTAAGGATTTAAATTTCTTTAGCTAGTAAGTGCATTTAGGGAAAAACAAGGTGCCTCCAGGTGCGGCGGCTCACGCCTGTCATCCTAGCTACCGAGGAGGCTGAGGTCTGAGGATCGTGGTTTGAAGCCAGCCCGGGCAGAGAAGTCCATGAGACTCTTATCTCCAATGAACCACTCAGAAAAAGCTGGAGGTGGAGCTGTGGCTCAAGTGGTAGAGAGCAAGCCTTGAGCACAAAGAGGCTCAGGGACAGGGCTGAGGGGCAGGGCTCAGGCCCTGAGTTCACATCCCAGGACTGGCAAAACGAAAACCTGGGCATCATGGGAAGAAAGAAGCCCTCCAGGGTGCTGTGCAGGCCGGTTTCTGGGTCAGGCACAGCCCTGGTGGAGGACCAGGCTGGTGGGAAGGGCCCCTGACCAAGCTGACTGTGACCCTACTCACCTCGAGAGATCACCTTGACGGCCACTCGGACTTGGTCTTTCCAGAGCCCCTCAAAGACCTCCCCAAAATAACCAGCCCCCAGCTTCCTGCACAGCGTGAACTCCTCCCGCGGCCGCTCCCAGTCCGCCCACTGCGGCGGGGGCTCCGACTCGTGCTGGAGAGAGAGGCGGGCAGAGAGGACAGGGCAGGGTGCCAGCCAGCGCTGGTGCTCAGGAAGGGCCTTCTCCAAGCCTGCCCAGGGAGCTCAGACTCCGCCCCACACTGAGCGCCCCACCCAGCATGGCAAAGGCTGAGCGCCCCTACCCTGGAGCACAGCCAGGGTCCTCTCTAGCTTTTGGCTCTCTTTGGGAATTCTGTGTGGGGCTTCACCGAGCTCCTGCAGCACAGCTGAGGGCACGTCCCTGCGCATCTGCGCTCCCTCCCGAGGGACGGCTGCACGGGGGCGGGGCCTACCTTCCAGCAGGGCGTGGTCAGCCGCAGGCCGGGAGCCAGGCTCCGGGCCCTGTGGTAGCTCACCAGCTCAGGCAGGCTGGGGAAGGACACCGTGTCGTTCAGGTGCAGCCGGCCGCCCGAGAGCCGCCGAATCCGGTAGTGCCGAACGGCTTGGGCATCCCGCACTGGGGAGGGCGGTGGACGGAAGGGTGAGGGGCCACACGGCCCGGGGCCCCAGCTCCCTCCCAGGCAGGGCCGCGTCCTGTGTCCCCTCCTGCTCCCAGCTCTCAATGCAGGGCCACGCGTAGGACAGGACCCCCGTGGGTCAGCTCGAGAGGAGCTCAGAGAAGCCCCCACCCCAGAGGGGCCCCTTGCTTCCTGCCCCGTGGAGGCCTCCGTGTGACCAGGCGGCCCTGGGATCCCCCCGGCCGAGGTACCTGAGAGCACGTAGTCAGCACCCGGCTTCTCACTGACCCTGACCAAAAACGAGCCGGTGGAGCTGCCCTCTGCCTGCAGCCGGTGCGTGGCTTCCGAGCGGGAGATGCGGCCGAAGAACCACCTGCAGGGAGGCAGAGTCTGACTCCATAGGACCCCGGCCCAGCCCTCAGCCCACCCCACAGGGCCTCTCTGCCCACTGGTGCTGGGGCCCCTCAGGCCAGCTCAGAGCTGCCTCAGACACCAGGTCCTCAGTGCCGCCACCTGTGCCAGCTGTCCCTGGAGCTCACGGGCTCTGGAAGCCCCCCACGTAGAGGACGGGGTGGGGGTAGCATGGACTGGACCAGGGGCGGCAGCAGGGAGGGGAGGGAAAGGGAGGAGAGGGGCATGGACTGGACCAGGGGCAGCAGCAGGGAGGGGAGGGGAGGAGAAGGGCATGGACTGGACCAGGGGCAGCAGCAGGGAGGGGAGGGGGCACGGGTCCTGGGTGCCAGGCAGAGGGACATGGACTGGACCATTTCTTCACACACACACACACACACACACGCTGTGGGTGACAGGCATGTCCCAGAACCGTCCTGTCTACTAAGTAGGTCGCAGACCTGGTTCTGGCTGTTTGGAAAGTGAGTAGATGTCACGCCCAAAGGCCCTACGCTGGTACACACTTTGCTACCAGTGTCCTGGCCTCCCACCCCGGGCCTCGGCCCTGAGAGTCACAGAGCCGCACTCATGACTGGGGGTGGTCGTGGGTGGAAAGGAGAGAGAGGCCCCCAAGGCCACACGTTCACATGGCCAGCCCTGCCAGGTACCAGGGTGGCACACCCAGGCTAGGACCAGCCAGACGTACGGCTTCCGTGGTACAGCCGTGGTCTCCTGCCCTGGGGTCCTGCCCTCCCTGGTGCCCGCCGCCCGGGGCCACTCACGGCTCAGACTCCACCGTCTCCTCCTCAGCCAGGTAGTTGTGGGGCACGTAGCCCTCGGCCAGGGTCCTGCCCGCTGCATCCAGCCGCCTGGCCCACCACCACTGCTCCTCCTTCCAGACCACGCGGAGCGGGTCCCCCGCCCGGAAGCTCAGCTCCTCGTCTGTTCTGGCATCGAAGTCCCAGAGGCCCACGTACTTGGGGCCCAGGGGGTCCTGGCCACGGGACACCATGGCAGGCCGGGAAGCAGGGCCAGCTGTGGGCTGGGCCTGGCACCGCAGCTGGGAGGAGGAGGTAGGGCCAACTGGCAGACCGCCCCGCCCGTTCCTCAGGTTAACAAAGGCCAGCCCCTCCCAGGGCCCCAGCAGGTCCTGGTTCTGCTCGGAGAGCCTGGCCGGCCTGCTCCCAGCCTGCTCCCAGCCTGCTCCCCCCACCCCCATCCTCGGCCTGCCAGGGCCTTCATGCTGGGAACTCACACTGTCGGTGGCCAGGTGGGAGGAGGTGGGGTCAGCTGAAGCCATGGCCACGTGGGCAGCTCTTGGAAGTGTGGGTGAAATACAGGAGGGGGATGAGGGTCGTGGGTGGGTTTCTGAGCACACGCTGCAGCCTCTCTTCCACCAGGAGGCTCTCTGCCCTTGCTGCACTGCTCCCCTCCAAGGGCTGCCTCCCACGACCAGAGACGAGAGCTGGTGGGCACAGCAGGCTGAGGCCTCGGACCTGGTCTGGGGTGGACGGGCCCCCGGTTTGATGCGAAGGGTCTGGGGTGGACGGGCCCCCGGTTTGATGCGAAGGGTCTGGGGTGGACGGGCCCCCGGTTTGATGCGAAGG